TAAGACATCAACACTGTACTCGAAACGTTTCATTTAATAATTACAAAAAATCAATCAATCTATTATTTCATTTAATTGAATTATCACTTGTACGACTAATTTGTGCTCAATAAGATGTTATAGTATTTGTTTGGTTTGTATTTCAAATACAAATTAATATTATTTATTTTTAATTTTTTTAATAAAAATTTAGTATATATATATATATTTACTAATTATCACATTAAACTATTATTTAAATAAAATTTTAAATGGAATATTAATTTCAAATTAAAACTAAATAAACCCATTAATTTGCTATTTTCTTTAAAATTTATTAATCCAATTTTAATATTTTAATTATGCGTTGTTTTAAAAATATATATTTTTTCTTACAAATTATAAATATAATTTTAATATAAAAATCAAATTAAATCTTCTCAAATAAACTCCAAAGAAACAAATAAATTGTTTGACTGTAATTAAAATTGATTTGAAATGAGATTTTGATATGATCTTTTATTTAAATTATATTTTAATTTTTTATTTAGAAGATAACATATTGTATTTTTATTTGAATTTGTTAATAAATAATATTGATTTCAATTTAAAATCAGGATCACACAGTCACAGTCATCGTTTATTTATATGTATATTTTAGGTAAAATGATGATTTAATGTGAAATTTTAAAAATAAAAATAAAAATAAAAATAGTAATATATATATATGATCGGTGTGGGGTCCACCTCATCAAATCTTTTTTGTCAATTTTTTTTATTTTTTATTTTTTAATAAAATAAATATGTATTAAATGTCATTAAATATATCATAATTAATAAACTTATAATTAATATAATTTAAATATAATAAAATAATTGATTTAATTTATGATTAAGTAAATTATAATTTTGTTATACCCGTAATTAAGGCTATTGAAAATGTAATAACTTTGGAATGTAATTTTATTTATTTTTATAATTAAAATAATTATATTAATAAATTAATAAAATTAAAATTATCATTAATTATATTTTGTAATCTTAATATATATAAAAACGCAAATAAGCTTCATAATTATATATATTTTTTTTATTTTTAAATTCTTAAAAAAATTTAAAATTAATTTAATATTTTTCTTAATTTTTATTTATATAGGTAAATAATGGATAACGAAATTTTTCTAATTTTTCATTATAATTGATATTAAATAATTATATTAATTGATATAATTATAATTTATATAATTTATGAAATTATAATTAATCATGATAATTTGAAAATATATTTTAATTATATGTATGAAAAATGGATCTCATATCAATTTATTGTTTCTTTCTATTTTTATTTTTTAAAAAATAAATTTATATTAAAATATTCATAATATATATACCATAATAATATACATAACAAATTTATAATGATCACAATCAATATATATAATTACATTTGTAAGTTATGATTTAATTTTGTCTATCACATTTTTGAATAAATATTTTATAACAATCATATATGTGTATATATATAATTTATTTATACATAAATATATAGATAAACATACGAGAACATTGTGAGTTTCATGAATAATATATTTTAAAAAATTTTATTTAAACCTTTTTTTTTATATAACTGATTAGTATTTTTTAATCATTTTTTAATTTATTTTAATTTTGTAGACATGATATTTCAAATATATATATATATAAAGTTATATAAGGATTATATATTTATATTTTTTTTTCTTCAAAAAAAAATAATTAATATACATGTTTAACTAATTATATATTTTTATATTGTCATATATTTATTTTATTATTTTTAAATATATATTGTCATCTATTTAATATTGTTGTTTTTATTATATAATAATAAAAAATTTTATATATTAATAGCACAGAAGTACATTCAAATTTTCAAGGGTGTGAATGTTTTTTTATTTTAAATAAATGATAAACTGTTTTGACTTCTAAAATATTACATCAAAATAATATTTAAATTCAAATTAAAATCAATATTGTATTTTTAAATTAAAATCAAACAAACCAAATAAAGTATATAAATTGATAAATCGGTGACAATTTTTAAAGATTAGCAGGTCCACCCAAACATAACCTGTTTTTTCCTATTGTAATTAAATCTTATCACCTAAGCTGTATTGTATTGATTTAGGGTGGGTTTATTTGGATTTTAGTAATCTTTTTTAATATTAAAAGTTATTTTTTATGATATAAATAAATATTCATAATATAATATTTTAAAGGTATATTTTTTTTAATCCCGTAATTGATTCTTTTATTATTTTAGTCATGTATCAACACATCCCAAACTAATTTTGTAAGTGGATACTTTTTATATTTTTAGCCCTTTAGTACTGAAGATGCATATGTGTGGCAACCGCATGGCTCACTGCTGGCCACGTGTTCTCCGAGTGTCGACACCTGACAGATACGTGGGTTATTTTATTTCATTTTTAAATTTATATATTTTGTTTTTGTTTTTTGTTTTTTTGGTCCCAAAAAAGACAAATGGTGTGTTTGGCAATTAGCTGATAGTTGTTAGTTGTTAGCTGATTCAATTAGCTGGTTTGACTAGTTGATTCGATTAGCTGTTTGTATTAAAATGTTTGATAAAACAACTATTTGATATTAGCTGTTTATACGTAAAATGACAATTGATGACATTTCTATTTTATTTTTGTTTTTAATATATTCAATTATGTTCTTTTGAGTTTAGAATGTTTAAAATTTTTTGTTATTAGTTATTGAAAATTGTAAAAGTGTTATAAAAGTATTTATTTTTATTACAATTATATTGAAAAAATAATATATTTTTATTAAAATATATAAATAGTTTTTTTCTAATGAAAATGATGTAAAATATAAAATAATAATTTTTTCGTGTATATATTTATTACGTTAGTTATCGATTAGTTCATTATATTTATAATTTTCAATAAATTTAATTTATTTAATTTATTTTTAGTATGAAATTTATATAATGTAATTTTAATATAAAAATAAATTATTAATATTTATATTTTTTATTTTATGTTGATTTTAATAAATTTATATATTTTACAATTAAAATAATTTTTATATAAAAATTAATTATTTTAAATTTATAAAAGTAAAACTATAATATAATAAAATATTCTAATATAATTAATAAATAATCAAAATATATTTATTTGTGTAAAAATATATATATATTTTTTTACAGAAAAAACTATTTCAAAACGCCGGGTAAGTTAGCTTTTCAGAAATTAGCTTTTTGGATCCAAAAAACTATTTCAAAAAGCTAATTTACCAAACACCTAAATTAGTTTTTTAACTGGTCAAGCTGTTCAATAAGCTAAAAGCTCTTCAAAAAGCTATTTGCCAAATACCCCAAAATATATAAATTTAAAAAATTTAAAAAATAAAAATAATCATTTGTCCGTCAAGTATTGCTGACGTGGCGGACACGTCGCCTCCGGTGAGCCAAGCTGGTGTCATGCAAGTATTTTTTACGCCGGATGATTAAAACTACGAAAATTTTTCACTTACAAGACTAGTTTAGGACAAGTTTTAGTTATATAACTAAAATGATAAAAAGGTCAATTACAAACTAAAATTTTTATTTTTTTATTTATGTAAATTAAAGTAATTTTAAAATAATAAAATATACAAATAAATATTCTATTAATGTTACATTATATAATTATTGAAATTTTAAATTTTTATTATTCAAAATTAAAATAAAAAAAATTCAAAATATTCTCAACTTTTGGATTTGGATTTAAAATAATAAATTTTTTTATTTAATTTAATATAAATAAATATTGATATAATATTTTAAATATAAATTAATTTTTAAAATAATATTAAAAATAAATATTTTTTTAGTAATTGAATAATAGAAAATTCCAAAACAACACAACCGCATTAAATAAATAGTTGAAATATAAAGAATTTATTTTAGGGAAGTTTGAAATTGATTTAAAATAAGTATTGATTGAAAATTTTATTTAAATAATATTTTATAAAAATAAATAATACAATTATATTAAAATATATATCAAATGAATAATGTTGATTTTGATTTAACATTATAAAAGAAAAAATCCAAAACATTTAATACACTCCCTATTCTAATCTGATTGTTAGTATTTTGTTTCCGTGCATATTTAAATAATAAAATTATAATATCAAATATCTAATTTTTATTTATTATATGATATTATTTTTATATAAAAAACTATCATATTAATACATATTTATATAACATTAAATTATTATTTCAAATTTAAATTTTATTATTTAAAATCAAAATTTTACAGAGTGTTTGTTTGTGGGTTTTTTGAATTTTTGAATACTTAAAAAATTAAATTTGAATAATTATTTGATATAATATAAATAAGATATTGATATGATATTTTAAATATAAAATAAATTTATAATATAATATAAAAAAATAATTATTTAATTTAATATTTTTAAAAAAAATTGGATAATAAAAATCTTGATAAAATTTATAAAACACACAACTTTGCGTTTTTTTTTTTATAATATTAATTAAAAATATATTAAATTTTGTAAGTGGATAAATAAATTCATAATTTAATTCAATATATAATTATGAATTATCTTATTAGGGTGTGTTTGTTTGGGGATTGGATTTAATTTTCACTGTTCATTCTATTTTTTCCCCCAAAAATATCAAATCAAACACATATTTTTTATTTTTTATATCATACTAAATATCAATTTTCATTCTAAACATCACATCAACACCTATTTATATCACATCATACAACTATTTAAATTCAAAATTTTTATTATTCACATCCCAACTCAAAATCCAAACCCCCAAACAAACACGTCCTTAGTATCTTTGACACGTAAGCCGTTCAATATTTTGAATACAATGCGTATGGGTAAGCCTAAACGCATCGAAACTGCATTTTTTTTTTAAAAAAATATATATATATTTTCCGTATTTATTAATAATAAAAAAAAATAGTAATTACAAAATGGTCTAATGTTGTTCTCCACCATTCTCTTTCTCTGTCTGTTCTTTCAATTTCCGTCCTCATTTCAAACCCTCAACAACAAAGAAAAATCCATCTCCGTTTTTGATTCCTGCCCAAGCTTCCTGCTTTACCGTCTGATCTGCTGCTTTTCTTTGCGCACCACCTCTGAATTTTGATTTCCTAACTTCGTTTTTTCTCTCAATTGGACTGGGGAGCGCCGATCAGGATCTCCGCCGTGCGGGGCCGAGGTAGCAAGCAATCTCCGGTCGGGAGTGCGGCGGCTGGGAGACAACGCGAGCAGGAGTTTGCTGATCAGTTCTGACAGGGAGCAGAAGGTGTGAGAGAGAAGGGGACAGGATTTGTATGAATATTTTATAGAAGAAAGGGGTGAGAAATAATTCAAAACATGAGAGAGAGAGAGGAGAGAGATGATACCATGTGGTTAACGTGCAATGTAGGGAAAACAGCGAGGAAAAAATGAAGAGCGAGAAAGGAAGGCATCGAAGAAGAAGCTTTGAAGGAGGAGGAAGAGGAGTTGGAGGAGGAGGTTTTTTGCACGGCACAGATTCCTAGATCTCTTCTGCAATCTCCCTTGCCCTTGCCTTTTGCCGCAATTTATTCCTTTTCTTGTCTCTCTTAAATTCTCATCTGATTATTTTCTCCATCTTTCTCTCTCTTGTTCAAATCTCTCATCAAATCCTCGTGTTTATCTCCTGCTAACCTTTTGTGCCATTTCCTTTCTGTTTCCCTTATTTATTTGTTTTTGTTTTTTTCTTGAGTATTTCGCTGCTGATTTCTTCGCTAATTCTGGGCGATGGAGTTATGAACTTGGAGGTGAGGTTTGCTTTGAAAATTGAATATTTGCGTTGAATTTCGGTTCCTTAAACTTAGAGATTTTGGACAATTTGGTGTTTTTCAGTTCAAAGCAGCAGCCTTTTGTGTTCGAGGGTTTTTACTGTGTGATTCTATGTGGAATTGTGATTTAATTACCCGAATTGTTGGGGATTTTTTTCCTCTTCTTTTTCTAGTTTTGAATTATAGTTATAATCTGATTCTCTCTTTTGGATCTGCGAAACTGAAGAATTTTGTTTGAAAGCTTCCCTTTTGAATTGTTCAAATTTCGAACATATTTCATATTCTGCAACTTCAACTTAAATGCCCTTTTTAGCTGCTAGATCTTAAATGCAATTTCATCATATGAATTAGTATGAAACATTCATCATTAGTTTTTGCCAACATATTAATCAAGATTGAAAGCCCCAATTGTATTTGCTTTAAACTAAGAGAGATGGATAGCTCTTTTGTTGCATAGTACTTATCATCGGTTTTCTCGATTTTCCACGTGTCCTTAGTTTCCATTTTAAGGTGCCTGATACGTGTATCCGCTTCAAAATTTCTTTTTGTAGGTTTTGTCGGTGAGTGGAGGATCATCTTAAAATTCCTTACTGTAATTGATGTGTATGTGCATTGGTAGAAGCTAAAGGTCTTGACTTGGCGTGTATCTGCCAGCATAGCTGAGATGATGAACACTGGGTTCTCGTCTTCATCATTCTTTTCTGAAGAGGTGCGTGTTTATTGCTTTGATAACGCCAAATTTGAATCTTTGGATGGATGCCCAAAGTTGATTTGGGATTTGGTAACATCCCGGCATGCTCACCATATCTGCACGTGCAATGTGGATAGACCAATAATTGCAGCGGTCTTTTGTTTATATGTTCTATTTGTTAACTGGACATGCTTTGTTTTGGTTTGGTTTTTTGTCTTTCAGAGGCAGATCGATACGAGGAACGCGGGATTTTCCATGAATAATTACTCTGGTTAGTAGTTAAGATCAACTACTGTTACTTTTTCCGAACATTCTACTTCAATTAGGGAAGCTGAGTAGACGTTAGTTTTGTTTTATATGAAAATTGCTAGTTGTCCCTACTTCATTTCATGCCATTTGATTTGCCAAGAAATCAGCGATGATCGGTTTGTTGGCCGTGCGTAGATATATGCTTGTTAGGTTACTACCATCTCAAGATATGATTTAGACTGGCCTAATGTCTTCCCCCTTGTACCATGGTTGTATTTACTTGAACTTATTCATTTCACTGCAGTTTCATATTTTAATAACTTGTTATAAGAATAACATGTTACATGTAAATCTGATTGAAAATCAAAGTCAAAATTTGCATGACAAGTCAGTTCTTTGACCTTGTGTGGTCAAACTAACCCTCTTTAGAACAGAAATGATTTTGAGTATGACTAAATTCAAAATAGAATGAACTCTAATGATACTATGGTCAATAACCTTCATTTTTATACAGGATTAAAGGGTTATCTTCGAATGATATTCGATGGTTTGGCTTAAGCTAGAACACTTAGCCCTAGTGTATTGAGATGTTCAATACTGTTGAAACTAAAACAAGTAACATGACACTTGACGTGCAGAATCTATCATTTTACTATACAGAAAAGCAAGAAATCCCAGACGAGTTGTGTTCATTAAGGGTGTGTTTGTTTGAGGGATTGGATTTTTTTTTCTCACTATTCATCCAATTTTTTTCCCCCAAAAACATCAAATCAAACACCTATTTTTCATTTTTTATATTATACTAAAAATCAATTTTACATTCAAAACATCACATCAACACCTATTTATATCACATTATACAATTATTCAAATTCAAAATTTTTACTATTCAAATCCCAACTCAAAATCCAAACCTCCAAACAAACACACCCTAAATTTGGAAGGTGAAATTGAAATGTAAAGAAGTTAAAATTTCGTCTATCTGAATCCATCCTGTTAAGTTAGGCCTAAATATGGACTTTATCCACAGTTTTGTTGGCGTAGGAAGCAATAAGTAATAAGCAGTGTTGCCCTTGGAAAACATCTTCTGTGATCGGGCAGTTCCGCCTCTCAGTTTGAGTTATTCAGAGGTGTTATAATTCTATATAGTTAGATTTGGTCTCATGGTCTCACTTTTATTATCTTATGAATTCTCTCTTGTTGGAAAGAGAAAGATTGACACTCCGTGCAATAAATCATGTCTATTTGTGTGTGTGTATATATACATATATATATATATATATTCAATTCATAAGACATTCTTCTACAAAGAAACAAAACACCACTTGATTTTCTGTTGTTTATGTTGCATTGCTTCTATTTATTGTGCTTCAGACTGTTTGCTGGTTAGTTAAGCAACGTAAGATATTAAAACATGGAAGAAGCAATAAAAAAAAAAAAAAAAGAGAAACCTGAATCTACAAATTGGTGGTACCATGTACCTATTTTCTTTGTGAACTGCGTAACATCATAGGATCATTACACGACATAGTTCGGGAATCATGTCATGATATACAACATGTGGTGGGGTTCCATATACCTTCAGCTGATGGCTATTGTTCTGTGAATTTAGTAGTCATTGGATGCATCTAAATGCAAGATCCACTGAAATTAGTTCTGTAATAACACTCAGATGGACTTCAATCCTATACTTTATGGTATTGGTTGGGTTGGGCCGCTTATATTTGTTCGTGTCTAAATGTATATTAGAATGACTACAATAGCTAAATTATTGGCTCAATTAATTAAAATTTTAGCGGTGCCATAATGATTGTTTCCATATCCTTGTCATATTGTGTCTGATACTAAGCTTTCGTGAATCAACTGGTTCCTTTCAAATTATGGCAACATAATTTTTGGTATGACTTATCAAGAATTGAATAATTTTACAAATTAACTGTAGAACATCATAAATTTGGTTGGTGGTGAATTTTCTTGTCAATGGTTTTCATCTCAGACTTACTTTGACTTCTATGGAGCATTGATTTCGAGAGTGTGAATTATTAGTCTCAACTAGATTGCACGATTTAATTAATCTTATTTCTGTAATAATACACTTTACTGAAAAATAGTCAAACTCCAGCTGTGCGTTATTAAATATGTCGATAAAGATATATATTCTGAGTTGTAACGGATGATTTGAAATCATTATATCTACCCATCGGTGTGTACAGGTCTTTCTGAAACGAATGTTGCATTTTGTGTATGTTTTTCAGGTGTGAAATCAGAGGGAGGATTGAAAATGGAAGCACCAGCTTCATCATCTCTTGAGAACAGGGTGCCGTCAGAATCACCGATGGCGAATGGTTTTACTCTTCCTGACTATTATATGAACGGTGGTCGAAATCTCAACCTTCCATTACGGAGGCATATCATTGGAGCGGAACGGGAAGCCAGTCGTTCCTTGCCGACTGCTGTTGATCATGATTTGGGTTCCAGAATTAGACTAAATACAGATTCGACATCCTACCTTTTTGATGGCGAGAGGTTAAATCTCATGGGTGCTCAGCACGAGAACAGTCTCTTTTCGAGCTCTTTGTCAGATATATTTAGCCGAAACTGTATGTTTCTGTCTTCTACCATCGTTGGCTGATACTATTTTTATAATTATCACCATTTAATGATGTTTTCTTTGTATCTATTTTGCAGTAAATTTATCATCAAATAATGTCGAACCCAGGCACTCTGTTGTGCCTGCTGTTCCTCTTACCTCCCATTATGAGGAAGATGAAGCTTTTGAATCGCTTGAAGAGCTTGCAGCTAAAACAATTGGAAATCTTCTACCAGATGATGATGACTTGCTTTCGGGTGTGACTGATGGGTTAGGTAGTAGTGTTCGAACTAATAATGGAGAAGATATGGAAGATCTAGACCTGTTTAGCAATGTTGGAGGATTGGAGCTCGGAGATGATGGCTTCTCACAAAGGGCTTCTGAATTTTCTGATGTGAAATCTAACAAACAGCTGGTTTTGTCTCCGGGTCTGAATGGCGCAGAACACCCTTTTGGAGAGAATCCTTCTCGAACTCTCTTTGTGAGAAATATAAATAGCAATGTTGAAGATTCTGAATTACGAGCGCTTTTTGAGGTATGATCAATTCCCTGATTCAATTGTTAAAAGCTGATATGAATTTCGTCATTCACTTCCTTACAGGCGAACACTAATTGTTGAATTTTGTATCTGCAGCAATATGGAGAAATTCGGACTCTGTACACAGCATGTAAACACCGGGGGTTTGTTATGATCTCGTACTACGATATAAGAGCTGCTGGGAATGCAATGCAAGCCCTTCAGCATAAACCATTGAGGCGAAGGAAACTCGACATACATTTTTCGATTCCCAAGGTAATTTCCTGCTACATTCTGGTTCACTTCTAAGTCTCAAACCATGTATTCTGATGTTAGCTCACGACGCTTTACAGGAGAATCCATCAGAAAAGGATTTAAATCAGGGCACGCTTCTGGTTCTCAACGTTGATTCTTCTGTTTCAAACAAACGACTCTCTGAAATTTTTAGTGCCCATGGAGAAGTTAAAGAGGTGCCCTCAAGTTCCATATTCTTAGGTGGTTTCACTTCACATTAACTGGAATCACTAACACATGTTTTTCATTGCAGGTTCGAGAGTCGCTACACGGATCTGATTGCAAATTTATCGAGTATTTTGATGTCAGATCTGCAGAATCTGCACTTCATGCCCTAAACAACAGTGAAATTTCTGGAAAGCAGATTAAGCTCGAACCTGGTCATCCTGGTGGATCTAAAAGGTGCTTCGACCTTTTTATGCTGTCCCTTACCTAAATATTGCAATGAAAATCACTTTAGTGTTTCTTAGTAGAGTTTGTTTCTATGCCGAATATTGGTTTTATGTTATTTTGACGTATTACCTTTTTCCCACGTATAGATTATCACTGCATCCATTGTCTACTAAGGAGCTGGAAGAGTCTGCTCTAATGTTTCATCAACATATCTCATCTAGTAACTTAACAGCAGGACTTTCTGGTAATTTTATTTCTTGCATACACAGTTCGTCGAACTTCACTTAACAATATTCTCACGATGTTAATTATTTGTACTAGGATCGCTTTCACTCGGGGACTCAGCAACCAGCACAGACAAAGGAACAACACTCGGTCCATTCTCATCAAATGGAGGCCTAATTAATCCACTCCTGGAAAATATCCGTCGTCCTGGAGTACCATCCAACGGGCTACCAAATGTAGTCAGAGTTGAACCAGGAAACCCGTCTAGCTTCACTGAATCAGGCCTATTGCCCAACCACCTGAAATACGAGCGCCAAGGGCTGTCAAATCTTCACCCACATTCACTTCCTGAATACCGTGATGGCTTAGCAAACGGTAATGCCTTTGGCTCTCCGAATAACAGGGCTGCAAGCATAACTTCTCGTCCACAAGAAATGATCGGCAGCCCACAGTTTCGAAGAGTCAACTCTAATGGGCAGCCGATTGAGTTAACTGAAGGTACAAATTGCTTAAAATCTATTCGATTAGTTTTTCTTTATGCTTGTCATCCCCTTTAGCCGCTACTGATAAAAAAAATGTAGTTAATCGGGCTGTATTGCTGTTTAGTTTTCGGTTCCTCAGGAAACGGGAGCGGCCCCCCTCCAGGGCATCATTACATCTGGAACAATTCGCATCATGGGCAAGCTCAATCCATTTTATGGCCAAATTCTCCGACACTTGTCAATGGGATCGGAGCTTCTCGCCCCCAACAACTGCATGCTGTTGCTCGAGCCCCGTCGCATATTATAAATCCTATTATGCCTCTAACTAACCATCACGTGGGGTCCGCGCCATCTGTTAATCCCTCTCCCTGGGATCGGCGTCATGCTTATGGAGAGTCACCTGATGCGGCTGTATTTCACCCGGGATCGCTCGGGAACATGGGCATTTCAGGTAATTCGCCACATCCAATGGAATTCGTTCCTCGTAACATCTTTCAGCATAGCGGCGGAACTTGTATGGAAGTGCCTATGCAATCGAAGAATATTGGATTGCACCCCCTTCATCAGCGTGGCTTGATGTATCCGGCGAGGGGCCAAATGCTACCTATGATTGGCTCATTTGATTCGGCTAATGAACGGGCTAGAACCCGTAGGAGCGAGGGCAGCTCAAGCCAGCCTGACAATAAGAAACAGTTTGAGCTTGACATAGACCGGATTATACGAGGAGAAGATAAGCGCACGACTCTTATGATTAAGAACATTCCTAACAAGTATGTGCTAATCTATTGTTCTTTTGAGGTTTATAAATATTTTGTGATTTCAGGCATATCTATAATTGAAGAAATAACTCAGTAGTATTATGCTTTTCTCCTATTTGAAATTCAATTTAGTCGTTCTTTCAATATTAGGTACACTTCAAAGATGCTTTTGGCTGCAATTGACGAACGCCATAAAGGAACCTATGATTTCATCTACTTGCCTATTGATTTTAAGGTTAGTTTGATTTTACAGTAGGAAGTTATTTGCATGCATCTATCCTTTTTATCATCATATATTTCTTTTCGTTGCAGAACAAATGCAATGTGGGCTATGCATTTATAAACATGACAGATCCTTCGTTCATAGTTCCTTTTTATCAGGTACATATTGCCCTACAGTATCCTTCGAATATAGCTTATTGCACACATCTGATTTATTTTTTTTTCAAATTTTTGCAGACATTCAACGGAAAGAAATGGGAGAAGTTCAACAGCGAGAAAGTGGCATCTTTGGCATATGCTCGCATTCAGGGAAAGTCTGCGCTCATTGCACACTTTCAGAATTCAAGCTTAATGAACGAAGACAAGCGCTGCCGTCCTATTCTCTTCCATACTGATGGTCCTAACGCGGGCGATCAGGTACCAATTTTATTACATTCCGGATACTTCAGGAAAATACGCTCGTATAAGGATGTCTTAACTTTACGTACTCGCTGAAATGCAGGTTCCCTTCCCAATGGGGTCTAATATCCGACCAAGGCCAGGGAAAACTCGAAGCGGCACCCTGGAGGAAAGCAATCAAGAAATCCTCCCAAATTCTCTCTCCGGAGAGGAAAATTGCAACGGAGATTCTTCTTCTGGTTCGGGAAAAGATTCAGATTGAGTTGTAGTAGCCTTCGGATTATTTTTTTTTTTTCACTAACCTCCTAGACTAAAAGCTCAGCCTAGAAATTTACTTAAATGTCTTTCTTTGTCATTGCTGTATATTTTGTGGTTGGCTGATGAAGGTGACGGTGGCGTAGTTCAAATAATATGCTCTGGCGAATTTTGAGGACCAATGGGAAATGGATCGATGTTTATCTGACCCAAAGCAGAAGGTGAATTGTCGATTTTGTTGTGAAGGTAAAGGGAGCAGTTTGAGGAGCTTCGAAATTTTGAACATTGTCTTTGCTGGTGGTCTGTATAGAGTTTTTGATGGTAAATTTTGCTGTGGAAAGTGGCGATTCCGCGGCATTGCTCTGTTTTTCTTTTTTGGCTCTCGTGGCGCTGTTTTTGTTTCTCCATTTTTCCCGGGTTTCGATTGTGTCGTCGTTTTTAGGATTTGGTAAGAGAAGTGGCGAACTCTTTTAGGAGGAATTTTTGCTGTGATTGATGATGAATGGATGATGGCTGTTATTTTGTATGAATCTCTTATGAAACCTTTTTATAAGTTATGTTGGGGAGGAGCTGATTTCTTGACTTGACTCTATGGCTGTTTGTTGATATTCCCATTTTTGGTTTTATGCTTTTTTCTTTTCTTTTCTTTTTTTTTTTTTTGAATGATGTACGAATTTGCAATCACTACCCCGAAAATGCGTACTCCCGGCAGTGGTTTTATGCACTCTTTATTGGCCTTGAAATGGATTTTCTTATAACATGCATTCTTAATATTTGGCTTGTATTTGAATTTAAATAATGATTTGTTGTACTGATTTATAAAATAAAAAATCGTTTGTTGTATACATCACATAATTTGATTAAAAGAAATGCAAAATATAAGACAATAGGAGGGATCGAATCTTCTACTCCAAAATTTTGTCTATTCCCCTTATTTCCACCAATAAAATAATTGCAACTGTAATAATAAATAAGAGAGAGTATAGTGTAGCATTTAGTTACATTTAGATATATTTTTTAAATTCAATTTCTGTTATTTTGCATATTCAGTTTTCAAAAGTTTATAAAAATATAACGAATATTATATCTAATTTTAATTTTAATTTTTTCATGTTACTTTACCATTTCTGTAAAAATTATTTATTTTTATACAAAATATCACATGCAAAACTATATAAAAATTAAATACATTCAATTTTTTATACTCCTTCCGTCCTAATACAATAGTCTTGTTTACTATTTTTTTCCGACCCAAAACAATAGCCTTATTTCCGTAAATAACTATATCACTGTATAACTACCCTTATTCTTTCATTATTATTACACAATTTGTCACTGCATTTTACACTAATACACTCATAAGGACAAAAATGTCTTTAATCTATATTTTTTATCCACTGTCAACATAATAATATCAACATTCCTTAAATTTTGTGCTCAATACAACCAAGACTAAAGTTGCGGGGACGAAGGAAGTATAATACTTTAAGGATATATATATTTTTTACTTACATAGTTATAATATTTTATTAAAAAAAAATAGTAAAATAGCACAATAAAATTATTTTATATCAATTTTTACTATGGTATATTAGTCATTTTAAATTGTAAAATAGCATAATAAAATTATACCTCATTTTAGTATAATTTTTATTTTGTTAGTTTTATTTCACAATTTGCATAAATCATTAAAGATCAAATATTTCTTCTAGTAGAAATATTTTATTTAGGGTATAAATCATTTTATATCAATTTGTATTATAAACAAAATAATACTAATATACAAAAAAATTTATGCCAAAAGTAAATGACATTCCTAGTATGGGAGAAAATATAAAAACATAGATTTTTATAATATTAGATAAAAATAAATTTAAATATATATATGTATATATATTTTTAAGAATTTACTTTGTATTAATTTTTTTTATAGTGTGGTATTTTGTAAAAAATATATATATACAAAATATATAAATTAGTGATAATAAAAATTAAAATAGAATATAAATTTTATTTGATTTTTAATTTTAAAATAAAATGAAAAGATTAAAAATAATGAAGATAGAATTCAAAAAATATATCTAAATCTAACTAATTACTATATATATATTTTCTCTCCTATTTATTGTTACAAATTTAATCATCTTATTCGATGGAACAGTGGAATCTTACCTGTCTCCATATGACATAATTATACAACTTACAAGTAAGATAACAAAAACAAAAGTAAGATAAAATAGCTCTGATAAAAAAATATAATACTGATCTGGTAGGGTAAAGCTATAAGACTATGATTATGTGTTCAAATCAAGTATTACAAATACCTTTACAATTTACAATATATTACACAAATGCCCAATATAATACTAATATTTTTAAAACTACTTGATGGGACGGAGGAAGTATTAAATTTGACCAAAGTGTGAGATTTATTCAAAGCATGATTCTACGTTTAAAAAATATATATATATTTTTTTTATCTCATAAAATATTATTTTAATATCAAACTCAAACCAAAACTTTCTCAAAACTATCAAAAGAAACTTAACCTTAATAAACATGTAATATTAATTTTTAAAAATATTAATTTAATAAGGTTTGGGATGGACTCGTTTATTAAACTTATAATCCGACTGAATGTTTAAAATTTTAAAACTCGTATTTCATTCCAAATACTAAATTTCAACTCCAAATAGTACAGACGAAGGGAGTATTATTTAATAATCTCAACTAATCAAGCAGGAGCTAACAAATAGAAATAATAATTTAAATTTTAATTCTTTACTATAAATCTTTATAAAAAAAAATAAAATTTTGTTTGTCCCATCAAATTTATATTTATTTTATTTGAATGTACTTTTCATTTTAATCAAATAACTTTTATAATCTTTTAAAATTTATATCTTTCAACATTACACATAATCTACAAATATATCATAACTACTTACTTACAGACTCCTGACCTAATTGATGTAAAAAGTAAAAAGTGTAAAACACCACACAAACGCACCCTAATTTTGCAAGCTATAGAGCAGGGCTGTTGATATTACGTAAAGTTTTATCTTCATATTCAAAAAAACGCCACAACTCTGAAGTTTACTTCGACTACGATTACGCAAACTGTGCACAAACTTCTATCTTAGGTCCCCAAATTTTACTTTTTAACGACGAGGCCAAAGTAAAGAAGAATCGAGCAACATACCTCGAAGGTTCAGTCATCAGCGTCGTCCCAAGAAATGGAACGAACCAACTTTTCCATCCGAAAACAAGTCACTTCGGATAGAGAATGTCGTAATGGCCAGGTCGGTACAGCAAGGTGATGAATGGCTTGACCACCTCCCCGGTGGCGCCACCACCGCTATCAGCATTGGTAGAATCAGACTCGTCGCCGCCGACGACAGGAGTGAAGTCATGATGGTTTACCACAGCATTGCCTTTATCGTCGCAGCTTCTGTCAAGATATACTATGCGCATCGGGATGCCCAATGCATCGGATAATGCAGTAATGTGAACATGATCGCTCTCTTCGCCCATTGGCTCCACTGAAGACTTGCAGAACTGCACACCAAATGCATGTTATACATAGAAGCAGCGAAATCATAAATGTGTTACGAAAATTTCGAATCATAAATTCGTCATTAGGAGTAGCAATGTCTGCAGATGGTAGGAGACCAACCTGCTGTACAGAGGTACTTGTTAATCCTTGAACAAATGGTTCGTAGAAGTCCGAGCGTGTTTTCAGTTCTCCGGAGGTGATGAATCTGAAGAACATTACAACTGTCGAACAAATATCATTAGTTGAGATATATATACATGCACGGGATATTAAAAATTTAAAATTAAAATACCGTATTGGATTATGTCAAGGGTATATATAATGCTCCATCTGTGCTACTCACCAGAATCAGATATGACCGGATCTCGACTTTTCTGTAGTAGTTCATCGTGGCTGTCACCGTGATGTAACATATTAGCCACACTGATGGAAGAAGTAAAACGGACAAAATCGAAGAGAGAATGACAACTACAAAAGAAAAGAATAGGGGAAGGAGATTTTGAACCTTATGGAAGCTTCATTCCCAGAAATCACACTTTGAAGTAGTTCGAGAGTTACCTGAAGCAACACAGGGCATGAAAATAAAACTTTAGAGGGTGTCGTAAAAATTAAGACAACCGGGGTAAAATAAAATTAAACAAAGTGATTCATCACTAAATTACAAAATACGAAATATGAGTTATACCCATTAGTTTAGCATCGATACTATGTCCTATGATTGTACAGAATGATAACCCAATAATGTGTAAAAGATGTCGGCACTAGTATACAGAGGCAACTATATCATTACCGTCAAATAATCTTCAAATGTAAAGTCGATATAGCCCAAGCTGATAAGTTTCTTTCTAGATTCCTCTATCTTTGCAGTGATGCGCGCAACTTCATCATGGTCTTGTGATTCCATAATATGCTCCTAAATTGTGGGATTGAACAATCGATTTTAAGTGACCACAGGATAATGACAAGAAATGCACAAGACAAAAAAATGCAAGATTTGAAGATGCAAATAATCAAACAGACCAGGTAAGCAAACATGAAGCCACGGAAGAAGCAATTCCCATCTCCACGAGTTCGCCTAATTGCATCATATTGTTCAGCCAGGATCTGCAGGTGTAATGACAATTAGAAGTTACCCACATCATATATTATCATAATTCAGATTGCTGTCTAAGAGTTTCAGCAGACCTTGACTTTTTCCAGTAAAATTGGATTTCCAGATTCGTACTCAGCAGCTAATGAGGAAAGCAGCTCCTGCAGACATACTCCCAAGATCATTTATAATTTCAAAACGAACAACCAAAAGAAATTGCAAATATTCAAGGCATTCTCAAATATATGACGAGCTAAAATATTTGGATGTTTCAAGTTAGCAAATCTGTTATCCAGTTTTCCATGAATACATAACAAATTGCTGTCTCTAAAAGGTTCAGCTAGCAAGTTCAAAAGCATAAGCTTAAAAGGGTCCCAGCTTTCATTTTAAGAATTGAGACATGACCAAATTTGAACTGAAAACCTATAGTCAACGAAGGGTAGTTTGTTTTATAATTAGTTCACCATAGTATAAAGAAATGTATCATCTATTTGATAGAAATTCTTCAAGAAGTGCTGAATGAATCAGAATCTTGGCCGGTGAGATTTCTACTATTTGTGAACACAAAAACATCTTCGTACCTTAAAAGAATACAGATGATAAGGTGCAGATTATATGATATTCACAGGCAGAACTTATAAATCCACTGTCGAAAGAAGATAAACTATTTGTCATCACCCAAAATCTGATAACTGGAGGCAACCATAAACTTAAAATATATTCGACATAGCATGCAGGTTTCTAGTAAAACTTCATGTCCAAACATTAGAAAGTTTTCTTGCCTTGTCACCAACAAATGGAGTTTTTTTAGCTTCCTCGTCACGAATGGAATATTGTTGCTGCATAATCTCATCATCTCTAACATCTGTCCAGCTATTAACTTCAGGTGACTTATTGCTGGATGTCATGACATCTGTTTCAGATCCCGCCACACCCCAATTGTCAGCTTCCATGTTCAGTGCAGTGGTTGAAAATACTTCGCTAGAATACCAGCATTAGAACCAGAAAACACGTAGAATTTTCAGAAAGCATGGATAGTACAAGAAATTTGTATGAAGTATAATAACTCATAGCAAATATAGACAACAGAAAAGAAGCAAATGGTGTCTATCAATTTGATTGCATAGTGTTGGCTGTGTAAATGGCATTGCTTTTGCTACATCAGATTTAGAGATTTAGGGAGAGAAGAGACTCTGATTATTCTAGTTTCCCAAATTTGGTTAGGTCTTCAGTTGTGTATGTATATATATATATATATATATTCTTGATTGAGATTAATAAACAAGTAATTTCCTTCCAATCTACATAGCATCAGAGCAAAGATCTTGTGTGAACACTAGCTGCAGGTGTAAGTTTCATTTTGCCCTCGTCTGACCGATTCTTACCACCGCCATCACGGGAGGTTATATCGGTTATCATCACAGTGTGCATAACATAACACACTGTGTCTACTATAGATAGTTCAATCTGTCTGTGTATTGAAGAAATGAGAAATGCGCCTAGCAACACAAATATTCAAATCATTGACTACCTCTCCACATCATTACAGTGGAGAACGGAAATTGATCTCTATGATAGCCACTGTGACGACAACCATAATTTCAACTCTCACAAACTCATAGTGCAGTTCTTCAATCTAACAGAATCATTGGGACTGAAAACTGTAGGATGTTTATTTGCAGTTTTACTACATAACAAAGCCAATGCTCCAAATCAGAACCAATAACTCTTACCCAAGGAAGGCGTTCTTAACCAAGGAAGGCGTTCTTAACCAAGAAACAATCAAGTGTTGTAAGTTTGGCCGAGTGTGGAAAAGACTATCTGGAGTATCCATGCCATCTTAATTCTCATTTTCAAGTATTCAGTTACGATTAAGTTTTTAACAATCCGTAGATACCAACAAATAAAAAAAAACAATCTATCAGAATTCAGAGCTCTATTTTAGCGTTTTTTCCCTCAGAAATGTCATTGTCATGTTTATTCATTGATATCATTGACGTTGCAATATTCCAAAGGAAATAAATAGACATCCAGGAGGAAATTCATTTTAACCTAGCACACAATCCACATTAACAACAAAATTTCGATGAATGCACCGAAAACTATCGGCATAATGTGCAGCAATACACTAAAGTTCAGAAAACTAATAGAAACGACGAACTAAAACATAAAATGTTTCTTGTTATCGCAATCCACAGGCAAGCAACTCTCATTCATCAATAAACTTGGAACGCGAAAACGCCTGGTGAGCGAAACCGCAAAACAAAAGGCAAAAGCACCGAAACAAGAGAAAATTCCTACGCAAATACACTCAACACCGAAGGATTTTAATCAAACAACACCACCAAATTTCTGCATATTCATAAAATCCTAGAAGCAGAAAAAACCAACTGAACCGACCTGCAATGGATACAGAGGAGTGGATCTTCAGAGACGCTGCCTGTGAAAGAGATTCTCAGAGTCACGTTGCTTTCGTCTCTCAACAGTAACAAAAGTGAGAGAAAACCGACTGTTGAGCAATAAATATAAATGCTCAGTTCAGATGGAGCGAGTTTTGCACATTAGTCCTCTGATTTTTTTGTGAGTTCAGAAACGCCCTCCAAGTAAAAAGTTGCAAAATAATACTACTTCAGTAGTAACTATTTCAAAAATATCATTTTTTTTTAAATACTCATATTGTATTATGATATAATTACTTTTATACTAAAAGATAAAGATAATTTTTACACTATTTTTAACCAACGTTACAATTAAAATACTACTCCCTCAATCTTATTTTTGTATTTTAGGTAAAATTTATTAAATCAAAATATACTTAATAAATATAAATAAATTTAATTAACTACATATAAGACTATTCCAAATTCATTTATTTATATCTCTTTCTTAGAAAAAATAAATATTTTTGTCTATATTTAAAATTCTTGTCTTTTACAAAATTAATTTATATTAATTCTAAATAAATTAAATATTATTAATTTATTTTTATTATTAAAAATTTTATTTTCTAAAAAAATTGATATTCATATTGTATGTATTTTTTTATTGCGATATAATTTTAAAATATTTAAATATATTTTTTTAATTATTTTTAAGTTGAAATCATCAATATTATTAATTAAATAAAAAATAATAAAATAATATTCTCTCCGTCCACTTACAATGTTTACATTTACTTTTGACGCGATGTTTAAGAAATAATAGTATTTTAATTATAGTAAGTTGTTAAAAATAGTGTAATGACATTTTTCTCTTACTTTTTTTGTGTAAAAGTAACGATGTGATGTAAAATAAACGTATTTGTGGAAAAAAAGTATGGTATTTAATGAAATGTAAATTTTATAATTAGATATCCCTAAATAGAAATATGTATACTTTTTAGCTGGACTGAGAGAGTATCATAAATAACTATTATTAACTAATTAAATACTAATATTTTCTTAAATACCTTATTACTAATGATAAAAATCATTTATCTTGGGATGAAAAAGTATTATGCCCTTTGTCCGTATGATGTCTCATTTACAGTAAACACAAAAATTTAGAAAAAGTATAATCATATATATATATAAAACAACTCAAAAGGTGGATCCCATATTTTGTAAATTTATGCAATTCTGCAATCTCAGAATTTTGAGATTTTTTGGATTTTTTTTAATTACAGTTTTATAATTTTTATTCTTAGATTTTGAGTTTATTGTTTTTTTTAATTATCAAAATAAATGATAGATGGTGACAGTTTTGAAACAGTGGGATGGCAGCGGTTTCAATGTTAGTGGAGGAAACTGATTTTTTTTTTTTCTATATATATAGACATGTGAGGGAAGGGTAATACGGTGAAAATTTATTATCATTGATACACTTACAATAAATTGTTGCTTTTTTATAAAAATTTTTTATTGATAATATTTTTTTTTTATTGATAATATTGAGTTGTTTTGCTATTATTCTTGATAATATTTTTTTATATATATTTTTGTATAATTTTTAGATTTTTATGGTTTTTTCTAATGTATTTTTGTGCGCAGCCATAAAGTTGGAATCTCAAATACTTTTTTGATAATTTTTTTTATTGATAATATTTTTTATTGATAATATTGAGTTGTTTTGCTATTCTTTTTTACTAATAATATTTATATATATATATATGTTTTTATAATTTTTAGATTTTTTTATTTTTTCAAAATTGTTGTATTTTTTTCTGCGCAGCCATAAAGTTGGAGTCTCAAATACTTTTTTTATAATTTTTTTTTTATTGATAATATTTTTTTTTATTGAAGATATTGAGTTGTTTTGCTATTCTTCTTGATAAGAATCTCAAATACTTTTTTGATAATTTTTTTTATTGATAATATTGAATTGTTTTGCTATTCTTTTTTATTAATAATATTTTTATAATTTTTAGATTTTTAATTGTTTATTTTGTTGTATTTTTTCTACGCAGCCATAAAGTTGGAATATACTTTTTTGATAATTTTTTTTTATTGATAATATTTTTTTTATTGATAATATTGAGTTGTTTTGCTATTCTTCTTTATTAATAATATTTTTTATATATATATTTTATAATTTTAGATTCTTTTAGTTTTTTTCTAAATTGTTTAATTTGTTTTTTTTTGCGCAACCATAAAGTTGGAATCCCAAATACTTTTTTGATAAAATTTTTTTATTGATAATATTGAGTTATTTTGCTATTCTTCTTTATATTTTTTTATATATATATTTTTTTATAATTTTTAGATTTTTTCTAAATTATTTATTTTTTTGTATTCTTTCTGTAGATACTTTTTTGATAATTTTTTTATTGATAATATTTTTTTATCAATAATATTAAGTTGTTTTGCTATTCTTCTTTATTAATAATATTTATATATATATATATTTATAATTTTTAGATTTTTTTTATTTTTTTAAAATTGTTTATTTTGTTGTATTTTGTCTGCGCATCCATAAAGTTGGAATCCCAAATACTTTGTTGATAAATTTTTTTATTGATAATATTTTTTTTATTGATAATATTAAATTGTTTTGTTATTCTTTTTTATTGATAATATTTTTTTATATATATATTTTTATACTTTTTAAATTACAGTTTTTTAATTTTTATTTTTAGATTTAGAGTTTATTTTTTATTTTTTAATTATCAAAATAAATGATAGAGGGTGTAAATGGCAGTTTTGAAATAGTGGGATGGTGTGGTTTCAATGTTAGTGGAAAAAAAACTGATTTTTTTTTTTAACTGATTTTTTTTTTTTTTTTGATATATATAGACATGTGAGAGAATGATGATACGACTAGAGGTGAGAATAAGAATATTGAAATTTATTATCATTGATGCATTTACAATTATTGCTTTTTTGATAATTTTTTTTTATTGATAATATTTTTTTATTGATAATATTGAGTTGTTTTGCTATTCTTTATATATATATTTTTATAATTTTTAAATTTTTTTGTTTTTTCTAAATTGTTTATTTTATTGTATTTTTTTGTGTAGTCATAAAGTTGAAATTTCAAATAATTTTTTGATAATTTTTTTTATTGATAATATTATATATATATTTATAATTTTTTAGATTTTTTTTGTTTTTTCTAAATTGTTTATATCGGAAGTTGTTAGCTATAGGTTATGTGATTTTTTAATTTGTAATATATAAAAATTATTTTATTATATATTAAGTGTAATTTAAATTCTTATTAGCAATTGATCATAATTTATATTAAGTTATCTTGGGAATTGATTTTATATTTTAAGTTGTAAAAAACAAAAATTGTAATATGTATATAAATAATAATTTTATTTTCATAATCAATTAAGTTATAAACACATCCAAATTAAATTGATTTTAACATTAAATTATTTTAATTGATTTTGTTTATAATAAATTAAATTGTTATTATAATATTAAATTATTTTAGTTATATTGTATATTTTATTCCAAATATATAATGTAAATCATAATTTATATTACATATTTTTTTTGGGAAAAGTTTATGAAGAGGTGGACAGATGCTGGCTCTATTTGGTGCATGTGTTTGGCCGAGAATTAGTGGATGATGGTAGATGATGATGTTTTTAGTTCGAGTTTGCAGAAATCCGGCGGCAAATAAATGAATAGTACTATCCAAAGTTAAATGCATATATTTTACTAATTTTTAAAATAATTATATAAACACATATATATGTTTTAAAAAAAACATAGACTTATGTTTTAAATTTATTCTAAAATTACAACGTATATATTGATAAATAATTTTTATTTGTAATTAATAAAGAAGATATAAAAAAATATATATTAAAATTTTAAAATGTAATTTATTTTGCATTTAAAATTATTTTAAATAATACTATTATATCTTATATTTAATTAAAAAATAAAATAAAATGCTACAAAATTTAATATTCACGGAGACAGTATAATTCATTGATTTTATTTTATTTTTTTTATATTGATTAAAAATTATATATATATAATATATAAAGAAACTATTATTAAACAAAAAAAATATAATTATAGTTTTTTCGTTGATTTCACCGTCCATAGCACGGGTATTCTGGTAGTTAATAAATAATTAATAATATATTAATAAAAATAATAATTATTATTTAATAAAAATAATTTAAAATTAAGATTAAAATAACTAATTAATATAATTAAAATTAAAAACAAAAATTAAATTAAAATTTTTTAAATGAGATAAAGTGTATAATACTTTTAAAAAAAGAAAGTGACAAAATAAAAATAAATGTGACATACGAAATGGAAAGGTGGACAAGATGAGTGAGACGGAATGAGTATTTTTTAATCTTAGCACAAATAAATAAATAAATAAATATTTATTAATTGAACAAAATGAGTAATAATTGTATAGTAATAATAATAATAATTGAGGAGTAAATTAGTAATTATCTTAATTATAATTAAATTAAAGGAATAATCGCCCAAGAAAACATGAGTTGGCCCATTCAGCCCATTCCAACGAGCCCATTAGTTTGCTGCAAGTTAATTTTTTTTTTTTGGTTTGTTTGTTTTACTTTGTTCTATACTCGTTTTTTTTTTTTTTAATTATTATTCAAAAGTTATTATATTTAATAAAATATTTATTTTTATGTAAAAAATTCAAATAAAACAAATAAAAAAAATCAAAAATAAAAACATCAATATTTGAGCTTAGTCTATTTTCAGATTTTTTCCCCCATTTTTTAATGAAAATTTTCAATTTTATCCAAAAACACTCTTTCCACAGTTAGGATCGACGGAAGGTTTACCTAATGCGCATAGCGGTTGCGGGTTCCCAACATTAACACATTTGAGGCATGGAAGTGAAAAAAAAATATTTTATTAAAAAATAATAAATAAAAAAATAATTTGAGATATTTTTAAATATTTAGGTAGTAACCGAAGAAAATGAAAAGATAATTTACATAAATGTTGAATATAATGTAATAATTAAATGTTACTATATTTTTTACTTATTTATTTTTTTTA